CCAATTGACCTTTTTGACCAATTGTATTCTGCAGTTATACTTTTGAAATCATCCCTTCTGCTGAAAAGTAACATTTAAAATGTTAACAGTCTAACAAAAATGGTAATTACAGAATAAAGTTAACATTCACTAGTATATATGTACACATTTAGGTTTTATCTGTGCTTGTTAGTTTTAAAGATGGGTTTACTATTTTCAACACTAAGGCCAAAATTTGTTAATTTTTATTTTTCATAAGTGTGTGGAACACTGTTCAACACCCTGCCACCATACCGACATTTAAATAAAACCACATATTTGTATCAAAGGGCTTCTCAAAGTTTTCATAGTGTGTGCCACATTTTAAGAGTTTCCCATGGAACCCTCTCCTCCCATTCACGCTCATGTCTGTGTGGCAAATAGAATATTTGGCTACATGGAAAAGTAATGTTAGGAAAATATTTAATGTATGTTTCACTTCTTTCAATGCACTTTAGCAGCTGGAACAAAAAGAAGACCTAGCACAACCAGCCAGCTCTCCTCTCACTACCAGTAAGTGCTCTGCACCAGTGGTTCAAGGACCACAGTTTGAGACTCTCTGGTATAAATATTAAGTAGCATTTCTTTAGTAATATAGCAATAGTGCACACATATACCCTTTCTTCCTGCAGACCACTATCCTGGATCCTGACAATCATACTCAAGCTTTGCACAGCACTTGTGTTGTGCAATAAAACCTCTTTTAGCTGTTAATTGTTAATTATAGAAAAAAAACCTTTTAGAAATGGCAGGCATATGAGTGATAAACTTTGGAAATCCACAGCCAGATAAACAGTTTGTAACTCGCATTGCTGTGCTCACAGTTCCAGTGGTGCTCCTCATGTTCTGGCCAGACACGTACACTAGAAGTCCATCTGAACCAAAGCCCTGGATCTGAACATCCTGAACTTTGGGAACATTTGGATCTTGATCCAGATATGAAGTTTGCATCTGGCTTTAGTCTATATGAAGTGTTGAACCAAAAGGCCAGATTAACCCGCCTCTGACCTTTTGGGAAATCGAGATCTGGATTTGAAATTTGCACCACATCCGTTTCTGTTACATAGTGCTTTATCATATCATAAAAAGAAGAAATTGAGAGGAATAAAAAATAGCTTCCATCAGTGACTTCAAAAGAAACAGGATAGAAACTTTAACGGTTGCTTTTTGTTTTATTGCTTTGATGTGTTCTGTACTTTGTATATGCTTCCCACTACCCCCCAAATAGGGAAGAGAACTGTTTGAGCCAATATGAGAATGAAGAAACTTATTCAGTGCTTCAGTGAAAAATCTGATTACATTTAGACTCCTACTGTATTTCAAAGGGATCTTTGAAAAGATAAAAGTGCATTTAATCTTCACCACCATTCATACTCATTCGTATTCATTGTAGCTTAGAAATCAATTTTATTTGATAGGAAATATTACTAGAAATGTGGCTGTCATGATTGGATGAGCATTTTGAAAAGAAATAAAACTACTTAGTACAAGTAAGACTCAAATATTGCATTGGGATGCTACAGGGTCAAACCCTGAGATGGCTTAAGGATTCTGATGCAGGCCCATGATGACCATGTTACATAACTAAAGTAATCTCAGATATTCCTAACAGCCTCTTTTAATTAAGAAATTTGAAATATTTTAATGTTGGGATTGTTCCCAATAAGCTCACTTAAGCTTTAACGTGCACATGCTGTATAAAACCTGATCTAAAATCTTTGAAAAAACAAACAAAACCACCCCACCACAGGCAGAAGAACCTGCAATTTGTGTGCTGGAAATGATATAATCTGGAGGATACATTTATGCAATGGTTGAGAGAAACGGATGCCATCTTGATTATGCAGTGCCTCATCAGTTCTGGGTTCTACAAAAATGGTGGCTGAAAAGAAAAGATTGGTCGCAAATATTACAGTTTTGCCTTTTCAAAAATTGAAACACTTAGGTCAGTTTCATTGTATATGGTAGTAGTTTCCTTCAACATCATGTTATGGTTTTCAAACTGTCAAGTTATGTCATCATTAAATAATTGTTCAAAATAGGCCCTTTTAAAAAATATCCACATAGGATTTGTGAACATTTGTCCTTAAACTGTGTGGTAGATTTCATGCAGAGAAGGTGTGATTCTATGACTTTTTAAAGATCAGTTCAAATAGGATTATATGGATGAGGCAAAGATCACAAAATGATAGTAAAAATGCTTGCAAATATAAAAATAACATGAGCTAATCTGACTGTAGAAAAAGTCCTCCTTTAACTAAGGAAAAGAGGAAAATCTCATGAAAATATGATGAACCATAAGCTTGATTTAAAATAATGTAAAGCATATAAAGAAAGGCTAAATAACATGATAAAAAGAAATGATGTACACAAGATACTACAAGCAACAAATAAAACTGAGTTGCAGTGGCTTTTGAGTCCAATTTGTAAACAGTTGTGGATTTATCCATAGGGAGTAGATCCACTGCAGTCCTGTGAGCAAATTTACTCATGTGCAGAATCAGGTCCTTAATACCATATAATATTATATTCTACTGTATATGAGACATTCAAATGGCAATAAAGAAATTAGGCTACCATTTCTATAGCAAAGTTAGCAGTCATGGGATAAGAGGGAAGGTTCTCTCATAGATTAGTAACTGGTTAAAAGATAGGAAACAAAGAAGTAGGAATAAATGGTCAGTTTTCAGAATGGAGAGAGAGAAATAATGGTGTCCCTCAGGGGTCTGTACTGGGCCCAGTCCTATTCAACATATTCACAAATGATCTGGAAAAAGGGGTAAACAGTGAGGTGGCAAAATTTGCAGATGATACAAAACCACTCAAGATAGTTAAGTCCCAGGCCGACTGCAAAAAGCTACAAAAGGATCTCTCAAAACGGAGTGACTGGGCAATAAAATGGCAGATGAAATTCAATGTTGATAAATGCAAAGTAATGCACATTGAAAAGCATAATCCCCCCTATACATATAAAATGATGGGGTCTAAATTAGCTGCAGATGTGGTCGCCCCATCTCAAAAAAAAATATATATTGGACTTGGAAAAGGTTCAGAAGAGGGCAACAAAAATTATTATAGGTATGAAACGGCTGCAGTATGAGGAGGTATTAATAAAACTTGGACTTTTCAACTTGGAATAGAGACAACTAAGGGGGGGGATATGGTAGAGATCTATAAAAGCATGATTGGTGTGGAGAAAGTAAATAGGAAGTGTTATTTACTCCTTCTCATAACACAAGAACATGGGGGCACCATATGAAATTAATAGGTAGCAGGTTTATAACAAACAAAAAGAAGTATTTTTTCACACAACGCACAGTCAACCTGTGGAACTCCTTTCCAGAGGATGTTGTGAAGGCCAAAACTATAACAGGGTTCAAAAAAGAACTAGATAAATTCATGGACGATGGGTCCATCAATGGCTATTAACCAGGATGGGGTGGAATGGTGTTCCTAGTCTCTGTTTGCCAGAAGCTGGGAATGGGCGACAGAATGGATCACTTGATGAATACCTGTTCTGTTCATTCCCTCTGGGGCACCTGGCATTGGCCACTGTCACAAGCCAGGATACTGGACTAGATGGACCTTTGGTCTGACCCAGTATGGCCGTTCTTATGTTCTCAACTCCCTTTGACTTTCAATGGGAGTTGGGCACACAGCTTCCTTAGCCCCTTTTGGAAATCCCATGTATAAACTGCAGTGGGTATCATTACAAAGTCCTCATTTGTTCTATCCCTATATGGGTACTTGCAATACTTCAGTTAGTTCAGATAGCCTTGTGTGTTTACAGTGGGTAAAAATCCTTGTAATGGCAACTTCTGTATATAAAAGTTACAGTTCGGCCAGTTACTCATATTAATTCCATGTACTATGAGCCACTCTTTTATTTGCAAAAGGAGGCAGTATATTGGGACCTGGAATTTAATTTGATCTCCATTCTAACGGAAAGGAAAGCAAATATTTTTGGCTTTACCTAAAACTATATTCTCTAGGCAAAAGAGGACAGATATTTAACTGGACAGACATCTGTAAGCTGAAGGGGCAAAAAACCCACTTGTCCTAGCATCTTTGATATCATTAACTTCCTTTGTCTTTTAATAATACATATTATAGCTTTATGAAGTCACATGTGCACTTTTTTTGTTGTAAGGAAATTCAGGGTCACACTTGATATTGAAGTTCTATATGTAAATAGGTTATAAAGGCTTAGTAGATGTTTTCCTCAATGTTAAATCAGTTATTGGAGTTCAAAACCACAACATGTTGCTTATAAGCATTGACAGTGCTATCTACAGAGGACCTGACCGACATCTATAAACACATGCTGATCGTATTTGTAACATCTAATCAATCATTTAATAACCCTTTATAAACAGAACTTTAAAGAAGAGTATGGCCACATTCAGTTTACAACTTTCCCCTAAAGTAATGTAAGTCCTTTTGCACTTTCTGAAAACACTTATTTATGATGTACAGCAGTGGTCTCACACTTTAAGACCCAGCATGTCACACATCGAGAACTCAAAAATACTTGCTATGCCACCTTTTCAATTTTAATTAGCATAGTTCTAAGGGATCTTACATTAAATCTAGTGTCACAGTTTAACCATCATTCTCTTAGGTTTCTGAAGAGAAAAAATAATTGGAAGATCTGATTACTCAAAAATAAATATACTTCAAAGAGTTTAGCATACATTTCTTCCCTTACACTGCACTGCCATTCTGCCAGGTTCGTTAGCATTGCTTTTATTTTGCAAGCAAATATTTTGCAGCCAACAATAGACTGTTTTGTTAGTAAATAAATACCATCATTACTGAGCAACTTTAGAAATTATTTTGTAAGGAATGCTTTGAGGTGGAAGGTGTTTAGATTTGTTTTTCTCTGTATATCGTAATTGGATTACATTGTTTAAAAAGACATACAAAAAAAAAAAAAGAACCTCCCTGGGACTGAAATACTTTGTATGTGTTGTTATTTGCAGTGCATGCCAAGACATTCATGGGCACCAGAGCCAAGCTGGCGAGCTAATTAAATATATAAAATGTATGTGTTTAAACAGCCTTATAAGGAGCATTGGAAATCTGCAAGATGAGCGAATATCTTATAACTTCTTCCGCAGGTGCGAGGATAGCTACAAGCCATGGACTTTCTGTCCTGCTTCTTGTTTGTGGCTTTGTGAAGGGTGCTTTGCTTTAATCTAAAAGTGCTGACTTTTTCCAATATCACTTTCTCTTCTTAAAGCAAAGAGCAAATCGCCTGTAAAATCCACGGAGCGGACAGCAAAGTTGACCCTAACCTCCAACCACCACTCTGCACCCAATGTACTCTAATTCTCTACACATGGAGCACCTTCAGGAAGTACAAAAAAACAAAACAAACAAATATATATATTGTTTAAACATATAAATATATATACGAAGAGGATACCACATTTTCTTGATCTATATTATTTTCTTTGCTGTATCACTGATCAGTTATTTGAAGAGAACGGGTATGATGTAACAGGACATTTTGTAACAGCAAGACCTAGTTTCCTTTTCTTTCAGCAAGTAGAAGCATCATATCCTTGACTGCTCAGGGGTTGGCTTGCAAGTCATCAGTATTATACAAATTCGCTATGGATGATATTTGGTTTCCTTCTTTGAAAGAACTGTGGCAGCCATGAGGCAAAGAGTGGCCAAAAATAAATAAATAAAAAAAACAAACCAACAAAAAATCCAAGAAAACAAAATGACTCAGCATCACCTCTGACAAAAAAACACCTCAGAAACTTTGATGAAAAGCCTATTTTTTTTTGTGGGGGTCGGGAGTGCAAAACAAAAATACAAACATTGCAAAGCAACTCACAGGACTAGAGGACGTTGTTTCTGAAGACAAGCAAGAAGCACTATTGAGGTTTTTTATTTATTTATTTATTTTACTTTTTTGAATTTTTCCTCTCCTTTTTTTCCTACCCCCTTCCTTTTCCTCTCTTTTCTCTTGGTTTGTTTCTTGTTCAATGGTGGCAGTTGCTGACTTAGGCCAACCCCTATTGACTGTGTGGTGGTAATATAAATACATTTTTTTGTGTGTGTGTGTTCTATATTTCAATGTGTTTTCTCTAATTTTGCAACTCCTGTATATGCAAAACTAACTTCAATTCTGTAAATTGCTTACAGTATGTGTGATATAACTTCACAGTAGACATACCATGGTCCTCATGCAAGACAGTTTTTAATATTATCTATATGTCGTGCCACCAACAGATATTTTTGTTTCCTTTTTTGATGAAGCATTATTTTTTAATTTGTAATTCAGTACTGTGTGGATTTTGTAATACATGCATTCACTTCCACTGGTTTGACCCCTTGCAGATGGCAATGAAGCCCTCTGTTTACTCTGTAAAATGCACATTAAAATTTGTTATGGTCTCTGAACAATGAATTATTTTACTTGTGTGCATGCGATGGTGGAGTCTGGTGACTCAAACCCCTTTTAATTTATAATGTTTATTGAGGATGAAATGATTTTATCCTCAGAGAATGTAAAATGTAAGTCTGCAGGCAAATACTGCATGCAAGCAAGGTCAAGAGAAAAAAATCAGAATGTACTCCTGGAAGATTTTCTTTTAATATGAGTTTTAGTCAAGTGAAATTTTTACGATTCACTCAATTCACCCAAGAACTCTTCCTGCTATAGCTAAAAAGGTATCTTTTTCCATCCTTTCTGTAGGTGGCTAGCCATTGTTCTTTCATACTCTTCATTATATTACTTTATGCCTATGAAGTGAAAATGAAAATGTTGCTTTGGCTGGAAGTAATTTACATAACATGAATTATATTAATTAATGAAGGAAGGGAAAACTACAAATATTTGTTGATTGAATCAGCTAGCTTTTAATGTCCTTCCCTCTTTTCACCCCGATTGAATAATCCAAATCCTTCCTGCTGTTTCATATACTAACACAGACAAACATGTTACAATACTTTACATGGTTCAGTGTACTATTTACTAGAGGACTCTGTAACTATGTCTGGTCAGCTATAAAAGACTGACCCCTCAACATATTTTTCCCCTTATAGACAAGAAAAATTAGCTTAGCTACATTTAACATCCTACAAGTATAAGGCTTTTATATTAAATTTTAAAAGACCCACAAAGACCCTATCCTTTCCCCCTAATTCCAATAGCAAAACTCTCATTAATTTCAAATGGGAGTAAGCTCAGACCATATATCTCCAGGATAAAAGAACTATGCACTAATGCTTTGTGTCTTAACATATTCATAAATGATCTGGAAAATGGGGTAAGCAGTGAGGTGGCAAAATTTGCAGATGATACAGAACTACTCAAGATAGTAAATCCCAGGCAGGCTGTGAAGTTACAGAAGGATCTCTCAAAAGTCAGTGACTGGGCAACAAAATGGCAGATGAAATTAATGTTGATAAATGCAAAGCAATGCACATTGGAAAGCATAATCCCAGCTATACATATAAAATGATGGAGTCTAAATTAGCTGTTACCATTCAAGAAAGAGATCTTGGAGTCATTGTGGATAGTTCTCTTTTAACACCCACTCAATGTGCAGCAGCAGTCAAAAAAGCGAACAGAATGTAGGGAATCATTAAGAAAGGGATAGATAATAAGACAGAAAATATCATATTACCTCTATATAAATCCAAATTTTTAATACTGCGTGCAGATGTGGTCATCCCATCTCAAAAAAGATATATTGGACTCAGAAAAGGTACATAAAAGGGCAACAAAAATTATTAGGGGTATGGAACATCTGCTGTATGAGGAAAGACTAATAAGACTGGGACTTTTCAGCTTTGAAAAGAGACGACTAAGGGGGGATATGATGAAGGTCTATAAAATTATGATTGATGTGAAGAAAGTAAATAAGGAAGTGTTATTTACTCCTTCTCATGACACAAGAACTAGGGGCCACAAAATGAAATTAATAGGGAGCAGATTTAAAACAAACAAAAGGAACTATTTTTTCACACAACACATAGTTAACCTGTGGAACTGCTTGCCAGAGGATATTGTGAAGGCCAAGACTATAAAAGGGTTCAAAAAAGAACTAGATAAATTCATGGAGGATAGGTCCATCAATGGCTGTTAACCAGGATGGGGTGGAATGGAGTTCCTAGTCTCTGTTTGCCAGAAGCTAGGAATGGGCGACTGGGGATGGATCACTGTTCTGTTCATTCCCTGTGGGGCACCTGGCATTGGCCACTGTCGGAAGATAGGATACTGGGCTAGATGGACCTTTGGTCTGATCCAATTTGGCCAGTCTTATGTTCTTATGTCTGGATAATATAACGGTGCAATCTTCTTTGGGCTGTTCACAAAGGCTTTTCTAGTGACTTAATTTGGAAGATTCACAAGAGTAAATCAAGCACAATTTGGAGCATAATTTATGTTTGAAAAAATATTCAGTGCATTCCTTATATATCCTAACATTAGGCTCTTTGACTGCTAGCAATTGAGCTAGTAACATAATAGTGTGGTCTTTTTTCAGAGCAGTTGCAGTGAATTTAGAACCCAAAATATACAATTAGTAGTTCAATTCATTCCTTCTAACATACATTACTTTTCCTTTTTCAACAGTGAATTTCACCTTTTACTGTACTAGCTAGATGTATTAGGCCCTTCTGAACTTCCTTCCAGTCTTCTCTAGTCTTGACTAGTGCTAGCTAGAGAACAAGAACTAAGGGGGTTTGTTTTGTTTTGTTTTAAAAGAGGTTTAGAAATTTGTTTTTTTGTTCTGCATTGGAATGACACTGAAACCCTTCAAGGATTGAGTGAGAGGGAGAGCCAAGTGGCATGGGCACTAATCTAGGCTGTGACAGACTTCAGTTCAAGTTCTCACTTTGCCTGATTCGCTGGGCTATTGGTTCCTCTGGGGTCAGTTGTTCTTTGCTTTTCATCAGAAATTCCATCTGGAACCTAAAAAGTGTCAGCAAACCAATGCACTTCCACAAAGTTTCAGTTTTGACCAATCAACATTTTCCAACATCAAC